ACTAGTGCATCACAAAAATAACGTGCACTAATATATTTAATATCAATATGTTTAGTCATATTAGTATATTACTCCAATTATTATCATATATAACAACAACAATAATACATTATTACATACAATATATTTACTATTAACAAGATCAGTCACACTACTACATCACAAAAATAACAATGCACCAATATTATATTAAACACTAATTCGANACTAGTGCATCACAAAAATAACGTGCACTAATATATTTAATATCAATATGTTTAGTCATATTAGTATATTACTCCAATTATTATCATATATAACAACAACAATAATACATTATTACATACAATATATTTACTATTAACAAGATCAGTCACACTACTACATCACAAAAATAACAATGCACCAATATTATATTAAACACTAATTCGAAAAACCATCTCCAAAGAAGAGAAACTAAAACCAAAACGATCACCCCACAGAAGGAAGACAAGCAGGGGCAGACGAAGGGGACGAGATGGACGACCTGATCCCTCCGCCAATGTCGCTATCCTTGCCGGAGCTGTTCAGCCAGGAGCACCAAGTGGTAGAGACGCTTCGGGAAGCGGTGAGCTCGACGGAGCTTCTGCACGAGCGAGCAATGGAGCGGTTCTACCGCGCGGTGGCAGCGGAAGAGGCGTCGGAGCAGGCGAAACGTAGGACGCGGGTGGAGCGGAGGACCGGTGAGCTTGCGTCGGTGGCGGAGGGGGGCGGTACGGGAGGGGACGTGGAGGCGCAGGACCCGCGGCGCTCTACGGTGCTGCGCAGACTGTCGAACCCGGGCGTAACTGCGCAGAACCTGATCAGCTGGCAGGCGAAGAAGAACCGTCGGCGGTCGAGCGAGGGCCAGCCGGAGGTGCTGAAGTCGCCGTCGAGGCTGACGGCGCCGACCGTCTTGCCGGACATAGAGGCCAGATCGGATCCGAACTTGCCGAGCGACGCGGATCCGTCGGCCGGCGTCTGGGGGTTGGACAAGGAGGCGGAGGCGGCGACGCGGCTGCGCAGGTGGCACGATGCGAACGTGCCACTGGTTCCGGAGGGGGAAGAGGAGGAGGAGGATAAGGCGGCGAGATCGATGCCGTGGCAGGCGGAGGCGAGCGAGGGCGGCTCGCGCAGCCAAGGGGTGGTTTCGGCGACTGAACCGGCGACGCCGGCGGTTCAGCCGGAGCCTAGAGAGCAGGAGGAGCAAGAGGACGATGAAGAGGAAGAGGAAGAGAGCATCGAGACATCGGAGGAGTCGTCGGAGGAAGGCAGCAGCGAGGACAGCGAGGACCTGAAGCTGCTCAAGGCGAGGATCCTGGCGAGACAAGTCCTTGAAGAGGAGGACACGTACCATCCTCGAGGCAGACCGGTCCAGCACATGGACCTGGAGCCTCTCGCGATTCACGCGCACAAGATCCCCACCCTGGACGTGACTCCGCCCACGCCGACCTCGCCAGGACCCGCGTCGCCCACCAACCTGGTCCCGAAGTCGATCCTGAAGAAGCCAAAAGAGGAGCAGCCGATCTCGGTGAACAGCTTCGGCAGGTCGATCCCGCCGGAGAAGCCCGTCCGAAAGGTGCCTCCGGTGCAATCCGTGCACCCCGTGGTCACCAGGGATGAGGAGGTCAACGAGCCGCAGACGATGAAGCCGCCGGCTTTGTCGGAGTCCGACACAGACAGCATGATGTCGGCCGGCGAGGCGGCGAAGACGCGCAGGATCCAGGCGAAGATGCGGTCGGCCGCCTCCGAGGAGGAGATCGACGAGGAGGACGTCGAGGCGCGGATGGCGGTCGTGAATCACTATACCGAGATCGTCAGGGAGCACTCAAGCCGTTATAGTTACCGGGGCTCGGAGGAGCGGAGGTTCAGCGACGGCCTCGCCGGCTCGCGAAGGTCATCCTACTCAGAAGAGCAGGGCAATTTAGGGCGGGATCGTGGCGAGAACGTTGTGACGAAGAAGCAGGACGTTAGAGAGACGGAGAAGCAGCGGGCTGCGGTGAGGAGGGAGAGCAAGGTCGACGGGGCGAGGCAGGAAGAGCTCCGGAAGCCGAGAAGGAGCGCCGGTTCCCGCGGGACCACCCCGGCGAGGGATACAAAGTCTGGCAAGGAGCTCGTCAGGGACTCCGTCAGGGACTCCGCGAAGGACGCGCGAGCCTCCAGAGCATCGAGCAGGACCCAGTCGCCCGCCTCGAGGTCCAGGAACGCGTCGTCCGAGAGAGGCGGCGGGTCTTCAAGGTCCTCTTCGAAGACCAGGGCCCGCGGCGCCTCTCAGGACAGGCGACCCGTCTCGCGGACCGGGTCCGAGGACCAACGACTGGTCAGAGAGAGGTCCGTGGACGACGAGGCTCGCAGGTCGAGGAAGCCTTCGCACTCCAGGTCCAGTTCCAGGGACAGGAGCAGGAGCAGGAAGGAGACACCGGTGAAGACGAAGATGGAGCGGCTGCAGAAGGCGCTGGAGAGCAAGAAGTACCGCGGATCCAGGCGCGGATCTGGCGTCGAAAGGGACCTGGTCCAGGGCCGGCCGAACGGCGAACAGCTGGCCATCGAGGCGCAGAAGAACGTCAGGTTCACCGTCGGCTATGTCACCGATCTGATCCTCCTGATGGCCGCCGTCTACGTTTATCTGTTCAAGAAGGAGACCCTCGCGATACCGTTCATCGCGCTGCTTTTGTACAGGTGGATCCAGCACGAGATTAGGGGGCGAGTCTCGCGCGGATGGTGGTGGTCCGAACGGAAACAATGATGATGACAGCGGGTCGTCGGAGAGATTGGGAGATCGAGAGCGATATGTCGGCGGGGTTGAACTGATCCGGAAGATCTTGATCCGGCAGGAAATATCATTGGCGATTCTTGAGCGGAGGCGGAACCGAAATACAGGAATTTTATCTCTAATTTGATAAGATTGAGATTTAGATTGCGCGCAAAAATGGACAATTTTGGGAGTGGAAGTGCGATTATTCGATAATAATCGCACTTGCGGCTCGTTTTTATAGTTACCGGTTGTCAAGGTTATCTATTTTATTGTAAAAGTTGTTAGTTAAATTTAATATACGTTTATTATATTATACAATTTTTCATTTGAATTTATTATTCGTTTATCATATTGTAAAATATATTCTTTAAATTTATTATTTATTTTTATTACATTATAAAGTATGTTATTTTAATTTATTATTCATTTATTACATTGTGAAATATTAATATTTTAATTATAAAAGCGAGCCGCGAGGCTGGAATAAATCGTGTCTCCTCTTCTGTGCGCAATCTGAGCGCGAATTAGAGAGTATTTACTGTGCACCGTTGATCATGCTCGCGCGGACCACCGTGGACCGGAAACGAACGGCTCGAACAGCCGCGGGATTTGATCGATCGTGAACGAAGCGTGGCTCGTCTGCGCGAGATTCGTCGTTTCGTACCTCTGGTTTTGATGTTCAGGCTGGGCAACGTAACTTGGTCACCTGGAATTCGCTTTTGTAACGCGGAAGCATCTTTTGGGAAAATGTTGCTCGAATTGAAAGCGACGAATGTTTGTGTCTATGATTTTAAAAAGATGATCGCAGTTATACGAACGGTATGTTCTAATGGGACAGTAAATTGTTCTTAATTTATTTACATTTTATATACATTTAAGTAAAACATTTATTGCAAATTGATGAAGAATTGAAAGAAGCCAGTCTCGAGAAAAATTGTTTGTTTATTTATAATACATTTATTTGCGTCTCACGTATGCAAGTAATAATATAATATTATTATAATAATTAATATGATATTGATATAATATTATAATAATAATTAACATAGTATTAATATAATATTATTATAATAATTAATATAGTATTAATATAATATTATTATAATAATTAATATAATATTATATATTACTGACGTAATAATTGATAATATATATTACTTATTATGATCTACTATAATCAATAATGTTATATTAATTGTTACAATTATAGTTCATTATTATTATTATAACTAATTATTATAATAATTAATATAATAATATTGGTAATAATATAATATCATTTATTATAGTAAATTGATATAATTTACCATAATTGAAATAATAAATAATTTGCTTCTTCGAATCGAACGCATATTATACAGATACGAATATGAATTATCTTATTATGAAATCTGCAATCTGTTTTTCTCATATCGAAAATAAATCGGATATTAAAGACGATCAAGTTACGTTGCTCATCTTGCGTGTAAAATTACAAAAATTTTCACGATGAACGTTCACAGACGAATGTCTGATTTGTAAAAGGAATTTTCAACGTTCGCGGACTTAATCGCGAATCGTTTATAAAAATCGATCGTGGTTCCGAATCTCGGAAATTTTCGAAATTCGGAAGTTTCAGAATAATTCCGGAAACCATAATCGGAGGCTATAACCGTGGCCACGATTATCTTCGATCGATTTAACGCGATTCGAAAGTTTCGTTGAAATTGCGGCGCTGTAACAATAGTAACAATAGCTTCGGGAGCCAATTGTTCGCAGCACAATTCTTGTGCCTTCAATTCAAGAACCATATCAAACGACCACCAAAGAACCACGTAGCATAATATACGTACTACATGTGTCAAGAGAGTGAACTATATCGACACAGTTGCATACTATTATAAATTATTGTTATTTATTCTTATTTATTATGATTATTCTTACTGTCTTTACTCGTAATAAATATATTTACAAACATCCTGTTGAATTTGAATCCTGCACGTGTTTTATTTCTGCGAAACCTAAAAGATCACCTTCTCTCTGCAAGACCTAATCGCGTTTCATAGCGTTTCAATTTTCATTCGTTTCGATCATCGAAATTTGGTGTCAACGATAAATCAGAAAAATTTGTTGTAATATATATATAATAATAATAATACAACTTTATTAGAACGAAGATGGATTATCATGGCGCGAATTAATTGAAAAAATGAAAATCAATTAAAAATTTATTCAAAAATTATTCAAAAATTACACCGAATTTCAACTTGGATATTTAAAACATTTAAATAAATCTGTTTCGCATTTGCGATTATTAAAACCATAATTGTAAGCAAAATCAGCTAGCAAATGTTCATTATTTATATAATATACAGAGTGTCCCAAAAATGTCTCGTAATCCGGAAATGGCTTTACGAAAATTTTCTCCGAGGCACCGTTAACGAGTTATTAACGAAAAACAGTGACCAATAAGAATCGAGTACGGCCGACGCGAGGCGGCTCAGCCAACCAGCGCACGAAGTCCAGTTCTGCTCATTGGCTCGGTCGCCTCGCGACAGCCGAGCTCGCCTCTCATTGGTCACTGTTTTCGTAAGGCTCGCGTCGCTGACCGTTGCGGCGACGATTTCCGTCGCGAGCGAAAGCGAGCGCGAGAAGCGGCCGATGCTCGGCGATAAAAAGCATCGGCGCGCGACGT